AATAGTAACAATATATGGTTCTGATAGAATCCTTTGAGTTGGAAAGGGTACATAAATTGTATTAATGTCAAAGAATATCTTGATTTCAGGATGCCCCTAAATCGGGTACTAGTTGCAGCTCTCGCTGTTCAAGTTCCAGACAGGATTCTGAGAGCACAAGGCCAGAATCTGAAACAGAAGATGTATTATGGGAAGACTTGTTACATTGTGCAGAATGCCGTTCATCTTGTACCAGTGAGACAGATGTGGAAAATCCTCAGATTAATCCCTGTGTGAAAAAAGAATATAGAGATGACCCTTTTCATCAGGTTGGTTTACAGTGTTGGACTATGTGGGGCTATGAGTCAAGCTCCTTTGAGTATGTAATCAGATTTTACAGAGGTGAAGAAAAAGCTTGTATTCATTTAAAATAATATTCCTGTTTTTTTCTTTTTACTTGAGCTGTGGTCTGTCTTCATTAGAACATAGAATCTCAGTATTTATATCACAGTTATGTCCTTATCTTGCAAACATGTTCCTGAGAAGTTGTTGGTAAGTGGAGATTTGTTTAGATGCGTTAGTCTTCTTCTCAGTCAGCACACTTCATGGTCAGATTCATCTACATCTGTGGCCTGAGTTATCACCTGTAGGATTGATTCACAAATCTACACTTCATGAATATCAGATTTACCTCCTAGCACCTGTAGTAATGCTGTCCAATACAAATATAATGCGAGTAACATATGTAATTTTAAATTTTCTGGTAGCCACATAAAAAATGTTAAAAAAGTGAAATTAATTTTAATATATTTTATTTAACAGAATATATTCAAAATGTTATCACCTCAGTGTATAACTAACATGAAAACATTAATGAAATATTTTACTTTTTTTTAATAATAAGTCTTTGAAATCCAAACACTTACAGCTTATCTCATTTTACACTAGCCACATTTCAGGTGCTCAGTAGCCTGCCACATGTGAATAGTGGCTAGTGTATTGGACAGCACAGGTCTATAGGATATCTTTACTTGAATGTCCCAGCAGTACCTCAAATTTAACCAAACTCTCCATCTTTTCTCCTAAGTCTCTTTTTCCTGTTGCATTCAAAATCTTGGTGAATGGCATCTGTATCTACCTACTCACCAATCCAGAAACTTGGTGGTCATTTTAGAGTCCTCACTCTCCTCACGTTCTTCTCTCTCTTTCTTACCCAACTTCCCATCAAATCCTGTCAACAAAACAAACAAGCAACTCCGAGAAACTAGATATAGAAGGGACCTTCCTTAATATGATAAAGGGTAGCTACCAAAGAACCTTCTGAAAACCTGTCATACTTAATGGTGAATTTTAGAAGCATTTCTATTAAAGGCAGGAACAAGACAGAGATGCCCATTATCACTGCTTTTTCTGTCAACATCCTAACAACATGTT